AAGACTTAATAATGTCCATATCTTAATTTAAAGTAGCAATTTCATAGTTCCCACTACTGGTATGGTTTAAGTGTTTTGCCAATGTTTTTGACACTGAAAACATATACGCCAAATAGGTCTTAAAAGTAAATGAGAAATAATTGAATAAAATGAGTTAGTTCAACTGCACCGATAGTCTAATGCGGTGCTTATACCTACTAAATTCCCGTTAAAATCGATATCTATATAACTTATCGATAAATTAATAAAAAAATCACCATCACTAACATGTAGAGATGTCTACAAGTTTATGGTCTGTGTTCATAGTAAATCGTTTCTCCGGGACTTGATTAAAAGTTCGCTGTGCAATGTTGCAATGGGATTTCGATATGGCAACTGCATTATTATAAGTTTCAAGACGGACCCCTTGGAACAATATCGTGCCTCGGGTTATTATCTTTACTTTTAGAGGAGAAATGACGTAGCTTTGCATAGTGATGTAGTATTTTGTACGTCGTTCTAGCTTTTACAACAAATAATGTTACATAGAACAAAGAGATGAAGATGAGAGTGTGACTGTGGCTTACGCAATTGAAAATTAAGTAACACTTTTTATGGTTTAAGACGCAGAATGAATTAGCTATTAAATTTTCTAAATTCCCAATGAGTAATGCAAAACATACAAAACATTAAGTAGTTAATAAATATTAATTAATATGTCGCGTTTTAAACCGTTTTTAAAGATTTGTTTTTTTTAGGCATGCGTTTGAAATAGGTAGTCAGTGGTTAACTAAATGTAGATTACTTATAATGGTAACCTACTTTTGATAAAGAGAAAAAAGTTGATTATCAACTTCCGAGCGAATTAGACACTTCTGAGATGTGCTTATAAAGAACTTACCTACATAAAAATTGCAAATGCAAATTCTGCTATGATATCGTTTAAAATAAAAACGACTGAACTGTGGCTCAGAATAACTACCTATTAAAAATGGATGCTTCAATATTAATTATCAAAATTTAAAAGACTTCAAAGTGCCTAATTCGTAACAAAAAATATTTACGTTAAAAAATTCGTTACGCCTCACTCGAGAGCCATTTCAAAATCGCACACGATAAAAACTTTTAATTAATACCCGAAAGCCCTTCCATAGAATTCGTCGGAGCTTTTCAAACGTAAACGGTATGAATAATAGTTTTAAAAGTATTTGAATAACCAGTTCATTAATTATTGCGCTGAGGGTATAATAGTAATTTTTGACGTGGCCCTTCCTGCTTGCAATGCAGTTGGCTCAGTTACACAATTTTTGAGTGGGCCTCTATCTGGAGTTAGTCGATATATATCGTTCGATATATTTTTTACATTATTCGATAAATAAGTAAAATGTCATTTAATGCATTATATCAATTAAGTAAGCTGTGTTTCGAATATGTAAAACCAAAAAAGGTCGAAGGCACATCTTAGTTTGGATCAAGTGAAATGTATGCGCGTCTTTCTTTTTCATTTAAGAACGATAAATTGGTAACATGTAAGTTACCTAAAAACATTATGAATCACTTTCATAAGCTGTAATTGTGTGTAATATAAAGATAAAGTACTTTTTCCTAAATACCCCAGTCAAAATAGGTCGACACCATATCAAACGAAATCTATGCTTGTCTATCTTTTTCTTTAAGAATAACACCAGTACTCCGCGGCTGCTGTAAAACATCTAAGACGGCCTATAATTAAAATAAATAAAACACTAGTTACTAATGTATTTCGCATTTTAAACCGTTAAGAGCGTTTTGTAATAAAATACTTTTCATTAATTTTACATGAAGCTAGGTACCTTGTTTGTCGTGACTCATAAAGTCGCAGGAATATATCGAATGCTTTGAGAATAGCCTCGCTGTTTTTCTAATGCATCACAGGTCGTTAGTTTTGGCACACATGCTGCAGATCCTGGGATGTCAAGGAGTGCTTATGTAAGAAGAAGGTCGCCAGTAGGTACGCTATGATTAATAGTCCTCATTACTTAGAAAGGTGAGCCAGATTTCCCTATGTAACATTTGTTACGTTAATAATTTAAGACTTGTAACTAAGATTTGGCTGTTTGGATTAACATCTTTATTTAAAGACGATCTACTATCATACAATGGTGAAAAACATTTCCAAGTGGTTAAGTAATACAATGTCATTAGCGCGTATAAATGTGGCATAATACTGTAATCCATTTTTTATGTCTTTTTAATTGACTCAAATAAAGATACAGAGCCGCCTAGAAGACTTTATCGGAACAGACCCATATTTGATGCAAAGCTTAAATTAATAAAGATACACTAAGAACCATTTAAAATGGAAGACTTTAAACTTTAGAAAAACTCGTCGTTAAAAGACATAATTGTGAGAGCAAAGGAATAAACTAATTCTGATTAAAATATGAATTTACTTATTACCTTAGGAATACTAGCAATGTATGCCCTGTAATATTCACTATACCCAGTATGACATCAGGATTATCGCCTACACAATTTTAGTATTGGATGATCTTATTTCAAGGATTACGACGTATCCTACCAATTAAAATGAATATGAATAGTAAATCTATTTTGTCTGTGTGTTTTGCCATATACCACGACCACTACATAATATAACACTGTTTATTTCTAGAAATAAAATGTATAATATGCGATCTAATACCTCGTATCTACCAAAGACCATTTCTATTTATAGCTATATACATTGAGAATGTCTTCCTAGATAAGATAAGAGCTCCAGAACTGTTCCTGAAAGCTAAAAGGGCGCGTTCAGCGGGTCGGGCCAATTATGAAAATAGCGCACCTGCGCTTGTCAAACACGGCCGCGCTTGTCGACCGGCCTGCACTAATCATTAATCTTCTTCGCTCCTTATGTATTCCTGGTACTCGCTTCTTCGATATGAAAATTATAAGTGAAAATTGTAAGCTTTCGCAATCACTAAAATTACAATGCCTGGACGACATTTAGTGTTGAAACGCACTTTTTAGATACCAAAGCCACCATTTTGTATAGTAGCATTATAATGCTTCTTAGCTGTCAAAGTAGATTTAAAAAAATTGCCAAAATCTACATCGATTAAAAATTACAACACCATCTTCCATAATATTAATATTTAGTAGCAACCATATAGCGCCATCTTTTGCCGAAAAACAAAAGCCAAAGATTTGAAATAGAACCTTATTCCGATTTGTTAACAGCGCCATCTTCTGTCGAGTAGTAAGGACAGCTTTGATTCGTCTACAGATCATGCTTGGTTGATTAAGTCTGTGCTTTCGCTTGTATTATCTGTGCTATGTAATGAGTACCTTAAAAATTAAAAGTGAATTTATGTTTGTGAAATTGATAATTATAAGTTTCATTTGGGCATAGAAAGCACTGTTAAATTCATTTATTAATTACTTGTTTGTAAACTTATCTTACACTGTAACTAATATATTAATAATGGCAATTTTTGTATTGTATCAGTAGTAAGTATACGGTGTTTTTATCTACCTTGAGGGCGTTTTGTTTCGTAGGTGATAGGTATGATTGACTAGCGATTATTGTAAAAATTTGATTACATACTTGTGTTTAAACGAATGTTTAAATTAGTCGTGAAGTAAATTACTTATTTCCAATTTACTGGTCTTATAAGAGGATAAAGAAAAAAATAAGAAGTCATGGTTATTTCATACGTTTTATTCAATATTACGAGGAAAGTGAACAAGAATATACACTTTTTTTATTACCTATTATTATCATTATTATATACACATTATTATAACTAGTAGTCAATCATCATTAATATAAAATTACGTAAGTACATAGAAATAGACGAACATAATTAAAGGAATTATAATATGTTAAATAGTATTTAAACTATGTAAGAAATAAAATCCCTTTGTATTATTGATTTACATATATAAGAAATAATATATATTTCTTTAACGCATATTTACGCGTGTATTATTGATTTAAATTATAAAAATAATAATATATCGCGTTTTAAACCGTAAGTGTTTATTTTCTTTTCTTATTCTTTAACTATGTCCCAGCGGTTCAGGTGCTTTTACCTTGTTTACAAAATATATTTTTATTAACACTTATAGAGCAAATACGAATTAATTATAACATAATCTATTCTATTAATATGGACGTTATAAACATACACATATCTATAACTATTATAAATCTAAGGCCATTTAAACATCTCCAATATAAGATTATTATGAAGTACTATATTTCTTCTTCTTCTTCTTCTTCTTAATAATGGTCTTGAAGGACGCAGTGCATGCACCACACAAACCTCTCTAGAACCGAATTTGTCGCCTCACTTCAAACAAATTCGGATCTACAGGGTAGATGTAGGGCACTAATATTGATGCCGATGTGCACCAAAATATTTTGAACGGCCATCTGGAAATAACTGTTAGTTTGCGTTTATATAAGGTCGGTGTGTGATGACTGAAATAATAAATAGACAATAGGCGTTGCGAGTTTTAGGTAGGTAACAAATATATAACATATAGTATTATTAAAATTAATGTTAAATTAATAAAACGACTTTCGTCCAATGTCAATGGAACAATAATATTTTCCGTCTTGATTCCTTCCTTGCCAAAACGTAATTAAGTTTTCAACTTAAGTATAGCTTTCTCAGTTTGACAAATTTTCCTTCAAATCAAGATTTGGAATGATGTGTTATATTTACATCAATTCAAATACAATTATTCGATATTTTAACACGAGTCATTTACAAAACTGTTTATTTTTCTACAACTATGCAAATTACATTATTATATAAAAAGAAACCTAACCCTTGTTTCAAAAAATACGTTTAGGTATATTTTTAGGTTAATATTTAATAATTGTCTTATTTTCTATACTTATGTGTTTATTATACTTTTAGAAGTTTTGTGTTGAAACTATAAGGAGATTTTAAGAAGTGGTAATAAATAAGAATGAAAAAATATTACACTAAATACAAATATATAACAATACCGTTAAATATGTAACTTATTTATCCTCTGTCTGTGTCTTCTTTCCAGCCGGTAACATCTGAAAATTAAAAATAAAAAAACATTAAATTGTATTCTATTTTCTTAGATGTGATTCATTACGTACGCCGTCAATCAGAATTAAACCTTGTGATATCACTTGCGAAAAATTTCACGACTGTGTACCAACATAGAGATAAAAATGATACAGAATTCTAGCCTATTATTACAGTTCGAATTCCTACTTCCGGTTTTAAATATTTTACTTAAAAATAATCTATAGGTGACTAGATCCATTTGGCGAGAAAATAATAATGTTTAATTTATGTTAAATGTTGCCTGTATTTAATTAACCATAAAAGTAATGCATTTATTTGACTATCGTACCTAAACATACTTACATTACTTTATTATTAAAAATATCTTTTTAAATGTCTATTATTGACGAAATGAACAAGATTAATAATTAATAGTTACTACTATATATACTATTATAGTTCATGTTTTATTAATATTCGCAATTACCCTTGGTACGTGGATACCGATATTATAGGTAATATCTTCTCAAGTTAAATCACGTACCACTTAGCATTATTTTGATGTTGGAACGTTAAACGAAATATTCGAATGATTATTCATTCGAATTTCAAGCCGAAATCGAAAATTGAAATTTAGAATAAAAAGTCAAAACGCACAACAAAGCCCTCACGCGCACCACAAACAACGGAAGGGAGCCGCAGCGCGCGATAGAATGTCTCTTCGGCGGCACACGCTAATTATTATTCCACAACGCACATGCAAATGCCTGAGGACATTTCGCGTCTATTGCATCACAGTGAGTCACGGCATCTAGCGGAATTTTTTTATAGACCAAACACGTCTTTGGACTCATAGAACGACGAAGAGGTTTTATTCGTTAATTTAAAAAAATAAGTAAAAAATTTGATTATGAATAAGATAAAGAATATAACCATTATGATAAGAGTGAAATTGGAATATACTTCGGAGAGATACTTATTTTATTTATCTAACTACTTACGTAAAGACCTATCACAGCACTAGACACGCACAGTCGTTATTTAAAAAAGAAACGTTCTTATATTGTAAATTATTAATCGAATGTATAAGCTAACAAGACAATCGCTTAAGTATCTAGACTATAGGTAGCTCGAAAAACCTAGGTTAAGTCTAAAGGAACTTTCTATGCGCCGCACAATCGCGTCACAAAGTCTGCGCGGGCCGCGAATCCTACGATTCGCCAAGGTTGGAACGAGGCCGCCGCTTACAACTGGGTCATAGGACGCGCATGCGCGCTCCGGACATAGGCAATGAGCGCCGCCCCCGCCCTACGCGATGAATGGCCCAGACCCCGCATTATATCTACATCCAGGATATCTTGGCCCACCCCTTTGTCACATCGTGTTCTATCAAAGCCCGTAAGTTCAGCTAACACTGGGTTAAATTACAGCTGTTGATCGTGTCTATTGTTAATTGGCTAGTTACTAATAAAAAAAGGAACATTAAAATCAATAACAGCGTCCCTGTGACCACGGCTGCTACAAAGCATCCAAAACGTCGGGCCGTAGTTAAAAAATAATTTTCTACTATGTTTAACTTATATTCAAATTTGGAAATGTACGAAATTTTAAAATTCGAATACGCCTATAAACCGAGAAAGCCATTAATCAAACACCGACTCACCGAATAAAACGCGAAACATTAAAAACTGTTTGGACGCAACCTCGTTCGGAGCGATAAAAAATCGAAGCCGAAAACTGATGCGATCACAACGAGAGACGATCTCGATCTGATGTTCTCCCACACGCCGTGTAGAATGAAACTATTGGTGATGAAAGCCATTAGCGAGCCACTAATTGTACGGCAGCCTACATAGGCAGCGGTAATTGGCCCATTTACACGTTTTGTTAGTTCGCTCTGCATAATTGTCTGTTTACACGGGAGACGGTGCCGCGAATACGATATTTGGAATAAAACAGTAATAGCATCAGAAATTGAACGCGTTAATAGGCCCGCTTATAACTTTCATTAGCCGGCTCGGTAAAAGTGCTCTCCGTATATGACTCATAGAATATTCCATTTTTAAACGCGCCGAATTGCTGGCAACGACGAAAAGTAAACATGTTCTCTCAATAGATACAAAGTCATACGATTTGAAACATCTAGCAAATCTGATCACTATACATAATTTATAATAATAGACTTTATTCGGGGTCATTTAATTCAAAAATCAAGACATATTTTTAAATAGTTAAAATACAGGCACTGCCTAATGTTTCATAACGCTTCTTCACCGTGAACTAAGGTCATTGCTAGCAAATTAAAAATGTCTATGTTAATTGGTGTGTACATATTGTGAACGGTCTGTTACATTACGATTCAATGACAAAGAAACCGTAGAATCGCTTGAGAGCTGTGACAAAAGCACTTAGAATAATTTAGCTGTTTAAGTCATTTACCAGTAATTACACTTTAACGGTTTAAAACGCGATATATTTTAGTTATACTTGTTTGAGAATTATTTTTAACTACGGCCCGACGTTTCGGATGCTTTGCAGCAGCCGTTGTCACGGGGAGACTAAAGATGGAGGATGTCTCTGCGTTTTAAACCGTTACAATTGTTTTATTTAAAGTTAATTTGTTATATATGTCTTTTAACAAAACAACAATTCAACAACTTTTAATAGCCGTAACGAAATTAAATCAAATTACTATAAAAAGTTCAAAGCTTTTGTATGGCTTCAAGCATTAAACTAAAAGCTACTTCATGATTTACAAATTTGAGCTAGCAATTATAAATCATTAAATTACTAATATCCTACCTACAGTGCAACTTTGAAGTCCGTTGTTATAGATACAATTTACCGGGGAATAGAAAGTAATGCTAACGAATGTCGGAATGTTCATTTGATCATAGGCAACAATTATTGAAAGAACCATTGTATGCCAACGCTGATTCCTAAAGAAGCATTGTTTTAAAAGCTATTGAGCTTTATTCAAGACGAACGAACTTTTAAAATGTATGAAACATTAACGGTTTAAAACGCGAATTGTTAAACGTTCGGCGTTTTACTATTAAACGCGTTAAGTATATTTATTTAACAAAGAGTTATGATTTTATATAATTTAGATTAATTAAAAGTAACTTACAAGATCATAGATGATCAGCATACCGAGTGGTGAGGACCGGTAGGAACCCTTCAGCGCCTGAAATTTTGAACATAATAATATCAATATCGGCAACAAATTTAATTCTAACCAAGGACATCGTTAGATTGATTTATTAATATTGAAAGCTTCCAGTAATGGAAACTGACCTTGTTCTTCCCGCTAGATACGCGCCAAACTGGCGTTGACTTGACAGTCCCGCCAAACATGGCTGCCAATCGTGTGGGAAGCGGAAATACACGAATTACTACGAGCCAAAAAGGATGGAATTATCCCGGCGCATGTGCAAAAACGAGACAGGCGACAGGTCCTGGCTACTTCAGCGATAAGACAGGGACGACGATAGCGCTGACGACTTAGGAGGGAGCGGAATAGAAATCTCATCTAAACGGTTTTTAGGGTGGAGCTGTCTGGAGTTTGGGTCGGCTCGCCGAGCAGATGGCAACAAAAAGGGACCGGGAATAAAATTTGGGAATAAATTGAACGACATTTTTGCCACATTGCTTCGGAGCCCTTTCGGTGTCTACGTCTGGCGTTTGCTTTTTAAGAAATGATCTTGCCAGTTTCGCTACTATATAGGTTAAAAAATTGGTCTTTAACATAAGTTTCAGCTCACTAGATACTAAATTACATCAATAACTAGCTTGAAATAATGAAATTAACAGATTTTACTAACCATATGGCCTCGGGTCATTGACTTAGAATTTATTGTATTCTTCCTGCCGTTTATTAACGTTTATTTTTAGACAAACGATTGTGTTAGTAAGTCGAGTAGTTTATAAAACTGCTTGCGTGTGAGGCATACAACTAAGTAGCTATTGAGCAGAAAATTAGGCATTTGAGGCAGTAAAATAATAGACATAAAAAAACAACCGTTGACGTATTGTTAAATCCCTAAAAAAGGTCATTTTAAAAGTTTTTATTCATGTTACTAACAATAGAGCCTTATAAGTGTCTATGACATTATGTTAATTTTTTTTTTTATCAAATAGGTAGATATATAATAAACAAGTTTTAATTCTGTAACGCAGAATATACCTACCTAATATATTAAAACCGCATATCCAAACAATACGCAGTTAAAAAGATTATTCTTAGGTTTGATCTTTAGTGTTAAATCGCTTTAAATCATAGGCATTTGACACAAAGGCTCTAATCTCAGGCTTAGCCTCATTTAGTCTTTCATTTACTTCGACAAGAAGATAACAGATTAAGGCAACGGAAGCTGCCGTATCTATGTTTGCATCCACTGTAACATCATATCAAATGAGATTAAACCATAGTGTTTGTCATCTAACAGGTAGCTGATAAAACTGTATTTAACTAAGATAGCCGAGATTATCTCAAGAGTGAATTACAGCACTTGTTACACAAAGTTTTAACGAAAAAAGTTAAAATTATCTTCTAGGTGTCTTAAGGTCCGCGCTACTTTCTACCACTAGCTGTTAAATATATCTATAATTATTGATTATTATATATAAGTAAGCAGGTACTTACTTATTTATGCTTGTCGCTGTTGTGAAAGTCAAAGGTTTTGATTTTCTTTATACGTAGTACACGTCTTTATTGGAGGGGTAAACGCCAAGTCGAGTACGTTTTATTAGTTCAGATTTTTTTGTATAGGTACAAAGAATTGCTAGTTATACACTTTCATATTTTGAAAGTTAGAAAAATTTTCATTTGTTTATTTATCTTAAAACTTTTAACAAATGTAATATGGAGGCACACTATCCATTAGCTAATATATTAAGTGTTTTATTTAAAAATCTAGTATATTGATCTCGCTAATATAAACTAGGTATGAAATAGGTAATGTTTTTATTAGTTAATCTTAATGATTTCTGAAGATAAAAAAGTTTTAAATATTACCTTAGACCTCGTTAAAAAAGGGATGAAATGCAAAAGGCACGCGAACCAAAGATGAATTATTTATTTAAAGGACTGCTCGCAAACTTTCGGAGGTTTAATGACAGTTGATATAACTTCGGTGAGTAATAAAATACATTAATTCTGATACAAGTTTGTCACGCGACTTTCGGCTGTCAAACTTTACTTTGCATAAAAGGTGATAAAGTAACATTATTTCTCAAGTATCTTCTTACACGTGTCGAACTTTTATATTTAGGGTTCCGTTAAAGACCAAAGTTATTATACCTACTGTATGAGTACGAGTTGAAATTTTAGGCTGTATTTACTGCAACAACAAATACGAAAAACTAAATAAAATATTTTTTTATGTATTAGAGAAGGGCAAATTTAGGCCTAACATTTACTAGTATTAATAAATGAAAACAGGTTAAAAGTTAAAATATTCACAAATTATTTTATTCTTAACTATTTTTACTGTTTACTGCTCAATTGTACAGAACACTGCAAAGGTTTCCGGCTCACACTTGGCAGGTTTTTATAGCAGTATTTTTAGAATCCATAAGCATGTGTTATATTGTTACGAAACACAACTTTGAAACGCTATATAGCGATATAAAATAATTACAAAATAAAAAGATGTATATGTAACATGCCATTAAATAAATATGCTTATTTATTATATTATATTATTGCATGTATATATTTTTTTATAATATAGGATTTTATACGTTTATAACATTAAGTTTAGTTTGTGATGTCATGCTGTAACTCTTAAAGTCTGAATTGATCTTGTTAAAATTTAAAACATTAAAATACTTAGAAGATATTGAATACTTGTTCATAGATATAACAGATTTTGTTCTTATTCACGATTATATTCGATAATCTCACGAAAACTAAGAAATCGTTCCGCAGTGTATTATGATGAAATTCTTGCCATTATCGGCATTCAATGTTAAATTAGGAAAATGTAAAAATGTTAATGAGCGCTAAATCAGGACACACGTGAAGGTAAATGTGTGTACATAAAGGCTATTGCACACGCAGGTATTTTTAATTCTGATAACTACGTTTTTGTAATTTACTAGCTCTTACGAGAAAAAATATGTAATGCACTTAAGAGTATGTGAAAACTGTAAATTGAAGTTTGGATATAAAAGGAGTGGCAGCGAGTTTCTCGCCAGTTCTTCTCGTATGTTCTACGCAAGGAGCGAACACATTTGTGTGTCCTGTTTACTGACCCGTTTTACAGGCAAGTCGTTGGTCAGACTTCTCTGTCCTACCCGAAACAATCTATTGTTTCCCTGGAAATTCTAAACCAGTATCTTTCGCGCTTATTCTGGTCTATAGGTAAATAATTTTAGTTGCTATAATAATAGTTCTTCTGTTGGTATGTTCAAAGGTAAAAGGTATGTCATTTGATGACAGACAACATTGTGAGAAAACCGGGTTTTATGTTTAAAAAACAAGACTATATATTTGACATATCTTATCTGTCAACGAGCACTTGACTACCACCAGATATAACTTTTCAAAGGATTTATGAAACTTTAGTGTCCTATTCTCATGCGCAGAATATTTACACGAAATGTAGTGTAAATATTCTCTCGACTAACGCAAATGGTTTAATTCTATCATTTTTGTAAAGTTTTGATCGCAAGTTTCAATGTCAACAATCTAATGGCCAATAAATAGGTATATATTATATCTATTACAATACAGTTTCTGTTTTTTTGAAATATGTTGGATTACCTCGGTCAATATAGAACGTATACCGATAACAAACCAGGCAGTTTAATCGCGTTTCAGTTTCAGTCTTTCCGAATATCCAAAGCTAACATAGGTCCATAGCACATCTTGGTTAGATGTTATATGGCCGAGTTATTTCGTCTTCGTTCAAGAGAACGCAATGGTTGTCATCCTCTATCATAAAAAAGGCTAGGTATCGCTCGCTAGGCAATAAAAGCAGGTAGAAGGACAATGTTTACCGACCGAAAGACAAAAAGATTGGACCTCATTTCATATCGCCGTGCATTAGCATACATAATAGGAGGAATCAGAATATAATCAAAGTACCTCACGGGTTCCGCACATGCGTACAAGCGGCGCCTTTATCGACAAGCCGGTAGGCGTCGTTGCGCAGACTCACAGGCCTCCAATAACTTTATATAATAAAAATAATAGAATTATATTTGAATGTCTCACATCGCGCATATATATATATATATATATATATATATATATATATATGATGTGTATTTGTTGCTTTTTAGCCACCGCTGAAGAGTGTTCTATGAAAAGCTTTATCTTCTTTTAAATACCTATCCATCTTCTATCATCTTATGAATAAATAAAATGTGTGCAATACTGAATAACAAGGTATGTAATATGTACATCGGAAAGGAAAATAGTTCGACAGCGCGAACCTATATCTGTAGTTGTCTGTAATGAACGATTAATATCTTTCTTCTCTTTTTGTTTTGAACCCAGTCTTAAAAGTAAGCTTACATTTGCATTGTCAACCATTAAATAAAGAATAGTGTTAAAATAAATCTTTATGTTGTAATCATTATTATAATTTATGTATGTACCTAAGAATAAATAAAATTTACGGTAGGAATTAACTCTCAGCTGTACGTATCAAAAACTAAAGCGATGCCTTTGCTAAGCCAATATTGATCAAACGGTCTACTAAGACGGATTACATTATATAGATGACTGCTCAAGGATTCAGTGATCTAGATTTAAAATAGGTAAGTTGATAAATATTATATTTATAGACTAACGTAATCTAGATAGAATTTAGTATCTCCAAAAAAAAAAAATAGATTATAATTTAACGCCAAGATGTAAACAATATCAAATATGTAGGAACGGTAGAAGAAATCTACAATAGACTGCCTAGCCTGTGACTTAGTATTTTCATTTACGTAAGGGTGGAATATTATTTCTAGTTTCCCTCGTAGTATAGTTAAATATAATATCTTATTTTGCATCAATCGTGGTTATGGGGGGACATGGCTTTTGGAAATCCGAAACGTAGTTAGAAAAAAGTCGAATAAACCGCGTCTAAACCAGGTAAAGTTAAATATAAAAATGATATATATATTCTATGACAACAACAAGTGGCAAATCTCATACTTTCGCCTTGATAACGTAAAACTAACAGAACATTTTCCTTTTATTTTATTATCTAGACGTCGTTCGTTCCTGGTTGTAAAAAGTCCAATGTAAGACCAGTAACAAATCGTTGCCAAAAAGTTTCCCGCGTCATAACTTAGGATCATTTAAAAGGTAAATCTATGTCGTCTGTCGCCGGGTCTTTTGAGAAATGACTTTTAAACCGGTTTAGACGTTAAACAATTGACGATTCGAAAGAATACCTCCGTGAAACTTATAATTTTTGATTATAAAGTTCTATATAAATACATTGTATCGTTTGCCTTACATGTAGTATTTTGCGTAGAAATAAAATATCTTGAATAAAAGAAATTTGAATTTTATTTTACTACTTCTAACTGATCGCATTATAATTATTTTTCTTAACTTGGAGAAGTTATAGCGTTATAACGAATTTGTCATGAAATAAAAACTAAATATTTTTTTAACACTTAGGTACATATCATAAGTACGAACTACTACCTAATAAAGGAAATTTATTGAAAAGCTAAATGGCAAAAAAAACTATTAAATACCTACCTCTTCACTTCGTAACTAGGTATTAACTATTTCATTCAAAGTAAGTCTAAATTGCAACAAACAAGTATTAATGCTAACAATTTGACCAGTAAGCCTAAGCGCCTCATTTAGCATTGAATAACAGATGCCTGTTCAATTAAAGCAATGAGTTTGACAGGACTACCTTTTAAGTGTAGTGGGCATGTCGAATAGACCTAGATATTTTTATAATGAATATTTAAACAACATATGGGTAGATTATAATTTAACTAGACTAGACACCAAAAAGGGTTAGAAAATATTCTTACATGTAAAGGCTTTTTAATAATATTATTTCACATTAAAATCTATGTAAATAGGCATACGAAGCCAGTAGCGTAACTAGGTGGATAAGAGCCCCGGTCTACCTAATCCTAAGGTTCAAGAAAGAATCGGGTCCTCCTTTTAGCATAGCTTGCATTAAATGAACCTCCAAAATTTTAAATAGTAACAAGAACGTGAAAATCCTTCTCTTCTAACCTTTAATTCTTCGCAAATTAAAGGTTGCTGGTGCCCTGCACCACCTGGCCCTACCATAGTTACGCCACTAATACCATCACGAGAGGGACCCGAACCGGCACCGATAGCGTTCCGTGTTGCTATTCTAACCAATTGAGCTACCGTGTCAAGTTCCGCCCGTGTCGTTTTTAAAATATAATTTAAATTTAGAATCTATTGTTCTTTACTTCATAACGATTAAGTATAATTATGCCATCTAAACCTTCGTTCGCATTAAGTTTAAGACAGACTAAATTATTAATATTTTAAGTAGGTATGTAATGTATGATGGCTAATAAATAATGTTTTCTTTTTAATTAATAAATATTTTGATTGTGTTTTGTTACTAACTGTTAATAGTCTCATAATGAATTTTGAATGACTTAATATTGACTAACTTAGATGCGTAGTTGTAATATGTTGGTGGTTGATTGATTATTATATATATTACATTTAACATTTAAACATTCCTACATTACAGTAGAGACGCAATAATTATTTTTCTTGCCATAGGTACTTAATTACTTTAGACCAAGGTCTTTTTATGAATGGCCAAATATAACGCTACAAAAAATAAAGCACCTACAAGTGTACTTCTGTCAATTGAATAAAATTAACTTTACTACATCTCATGGAATAAAAATAGAGGCTCGTAAAGATGGATCGTTCGATACGCTTTAAGGGCATCGTAAAATTATAAAACAAGTCACGTTTTAACAATACTTCCTATCCTCTAAGCAGGTCGCTACAACGTAACGTAGCTTTGAAAAGTATGCTCGACAACTTTTATAAGGGAATGTATGGAAAATTACTGCTTGATTTTCCGATTAAATCTGTCGCAGAATTACCGTTTTATATAATTATTGTTTAAGTTTAATTTTATATAATGTTCTCGGTTCAATTAATGTATTGGCTTAGGTCGTTTTAATTGTAATAAATAAATAGTAAACTCTACTGTTTCGATTTAAACGTTGCAAGAAACTAGTTACTTTAATGATTGGTAAATATCAAACTGATATATTATTGAGCAAGTTTAAAGTATGATTCATTATTTACACCAAGGAAAGACCTATATGTATTAAAAAATGGTGTATGTTTTCGAACACACAAATATGTTATGATAGTAAATGTGTTTTAAGTAAATAATATTTCTATGATAATTTTACCTTGAGAAAGTTAAAGTTATTTTTTAGAAAAACAATTACTTAGGTTTTTTTTAAGTGGCAGTAAACCTCTTTGTTAAAGGAAACATGAGCAATGATTAAATAAATATGAATGACAATAAAGTATTAAAAACAAAAATTCAAATTAAGAATTAGTAGACATAGTTGTGTATTCTATATTTAAATTTAACAATGAAACGGCTCACCGGAAAGAAGGCGTGGAGTAACTGCGCAGTGCGAGGACCGACTCCCGTCAGAGTCGGCTTCCCTACTCTTAGCAACCGCCCACCCCTTCAGTTTCACCCCATGACTTGGGAGACAATAATATCTAATTACATTTTGAGGACGTTTATGAGGAGGAGAACTTTGGATTACTTTACACTAGACAATTTATACTGTAAGTGGAAAATTGCGAAAAGCAGGCGATAATTTTACATTGCAGGCTAGAACAATTTTGAATCTAGACAAAGGTTTTTCTTTTTAAAAATAAGTTAATACTTATTTCTAATAATGAAATTTATTAAGCTATAATACTTACCTTAAGTAGCTTTTACCAGCACCATATATACAACAACAAACAATTTCTACAAATACCTAAACAATAGATAAATGACAAGTGTTTTCACTTTTTAATACATTAGCATACAGCCACAAACTTATTGTTTTACGACAAGTATTTGTACAAATATGACGACGTATTACGTAACGTAAATATAACGAGTCGCCAATTGACAGTGAAACCGTTACGGTAACCGGCCTCACGTGACGTAACATAAAAGCCTGTTTGCTAGGACGCGTTATTATGTAGCGAATCTTAAATGGCCATCTATGTATTTAATTATAATACCTACTTTAATATTACGACTATTGAGTTTTACATAACAAATGTGTTTCTCTGCATTCTTCGCATGGGGCAAACTCATTTTTATGTCCGTGTCAATAATCGATTTTTTCACAGGCATGTTGTTGATTAGAATTTGCTACCCTATCAGATGAAGTTTTATTGTTTAGTCGTGATTCTAACCTAGTACAATGATAGGTTAAGCATTAGAGGGCCAATAGACGAGCCCTTTCTTGCTATCTTAAAAAATATGTACCTAGGTACTTATTTCGCAAAAAAAAAACATAGTAATTTTGTTATTATTTAAAAGAGATGAATGAATCGAAAGACTTGCGGTTTAATAGTGTTAATGTCGAATTAAATATTAAAGTCAAAAATAAAATAATATTAAATGATTTTAGGAATAAACTGTTTGTGCACTAAACTATCATAAAGATTTCTATTTTAAAATGATTAAAACATCTAAATATATAAATGCGGCTATATTAAGAAGACTACTATTTCACAAGAGTTACTCATGATGGTATCGAAGTTTCTGTGTTTGTTCAGTAACTATTAACACAATTCATAAACACATTTTAAAATATGTGGGGCCAACTTTGATAAACACTCAGATGTTTTGTTCTTATGACATAAGACTTAGAGTCGAAAATGACGAATACAGTCACTATAGACAACTTTTCGTTTACGTTAGAATCGGGCCCCGACAAGTGACATTGCACGACTGCCGTGCTAGGTGGTCTTCTGGGAGAACGTTAACCGCGTAGATTTAAATATCGAAAATAAATTGAAAACATTTTCGACTCGGGCAGGACTTGAACCGGAATCGTGCTGTTCCGGCTCTGACGATGCCGGTTCAAGGCCTGCACGAGTCGAAAATTTTTTCAATTTAATTTCGTTTTTTAAATTATATAGTGCCTTCAATGAAAAATATTAAAGTTTTTAAGCGTAGATTTCTAGATCGACTGCTAACTTGTTTAAAGAGTGTTTTTTTTTTAAACAAATTACATAGAAAGGAATAGAATAAAATATATAGAAATATATTTTTCATCCCAGATTAAAAATATTTCAATCTGGGATTATGATAATATATCATAAATAATATTTTACTTGTTAACTTAAGTTAGTGAAGAATCTTAATTAGTTATCTACCTACCTACTTACTAATGAAATTCTAAAGTAAGATTTTCTAAAAATGCAGTTACACTTTAATTTTTCTCTTAATTTTAGCTATGCTGATATACTGATGAATTTTGATAAAGCGTCGCCTTTTAGGTAAGCCTTGCAATACAACCACACACAAATACAAACTTTAACGTCTAGTACATAATCAAATAATCCGTAATTAATTTAAAAATGAATTTCAGTGTTTCTAAATATCTTATAATCCTATAAAACCATATTCAAATATTAATCAGCCCATTTTATATGGCACCAGTGTATATTTTAAATTCCACTAGCTGAAAGCAAACACAAATAAAACGTGCCAAGTCGAAATTGGGGATTATTTTACTCGAGTAAATCGGGCCAATCCTGCGCCACCCTTCCCCTTATTGGTGAATTTAAAAAAGGAATTTCAATCTGCTCCCCTTCGAATGCAACTTGGCTACTGCAGTTGCTAACCGACGGTATTATCTGTTCTTTACATCTTTATACGACGTGCTGCTTGTATGTGTATCTTAACAATTTTTTTGGGGTTTTTTTACTGTGACTGTTAGGACTACTATACTTATTTTTATACTTTAAATTATAAATTTAAATCTTTACTAATATATAAACCTGAAATGTTCACCTGTTCGTTTGAACGCGCTTAACTCAGGAACTATTCGCTTAATTAGGACTCTTGCAAAAACTCTTCTACGCGGACAAAGTCGCTGACGCAGATACAGTATCTACTTAGCTCGCAAAGGAACCTGTCAACTGGTTTACGTCAGGCTTTACCACGCAAACCGTTACTTCATTGACATTCGAGTTGTCAATGACAGGCGTTGTAAGTATTGATTTTATGTCATAATTTGCTATAAGCTAAATCTTCCTAAATAATAACCAGTAATACAGCGGTATCTGAAAGTTAAAAGATTTTAGCGTTAAAATACGTTCCTTCGTTTTAAGAAGTATGATGTATTTAAAAGCGCGTTTAAAATAATTCACTTCGTTTCTTGGAAGTATTAAAAATGACGTATTCCGCGCATCCTCTGACAGCCGCATGTCCCTACCATTGAAACTCGAACCGAAATTACAATCGAGATGACATGAGGAAAGCGTAAATTCGACACTTCCGAAACGTTTTAACTATAATGATATATATTTTTCAAACGCACTTATGTTATAATGACATTGACTAGACGGGTTAATTTTTCAATGTGTGTAAATGTTCTAAACGATTTTAGGTAAATGCTTGAAATATAGGTTAAATAGCAACACCAAAGACAAAACTCGAATAAACGAAAACCACTGGTAACGCGGCTCGATTTTGTTCAAAATGCGCAAGTCTTAAAACGGCACAGGCGCATCATCGAGGTACGTTTTGCGGCGGCCATATTTTATCGCTTCTCTTTTTTCGGACAGGCTTTGAACAAAAATAACGCCATTCATGGAACCCAGGTATAAATTTCAAGTCAGCAGTTTTTGTATTATGGATTACATCGGCTGTCGGCCGTCACAATTGGCTTTACTCGGAAATATTTTTATTACTTGAGCGCATTATTTACTTGTGTATAAATGGATTATAGAATCTGTAACACTCTTTAGAATCGTTATAATAGGGATTGAATTTAAAGTCAGAAGTTTAATAGTAAAATAAAATTACATGGTAATATTTAAAATATATAACATTCGTGTTACGACACGTAGCAAACATAATTGTAAAGTGAATTAATTAAATAAAATCAAGGGTTTAATAAGGCAACTATAAACTAATTGTTAAAATATATCGTGTTTCATTCTGCGAACCAATTAATATACAACAATAACAGATTTTATTAATATTAAAACTACGAATTAAATCTAGAAACACAATAAAAATGTATGATCTACTGGAAATATTTGTTAATCTTTGTTTTATGTAGCTCCTTTATGCCATGATAATATATCTCTATTTAAATTATAATCTATGTATCTTAATTCATTGTAAATGATGACAGCTCTTTTATGCAAATGTGTCAAACGTCAAACGTTACGCCTTAAAGAGCGATTATAAAATTGCTCATTTGCGAAAATTACCTCAAGAGATATGTACAATTTAAACTATTATTTTCTTTAATTTATTAAATAATATAAATTACGCTTACAAAGATATTTAAGATTTTTTAAAATAATAATTCTTTTCAATCGCGACATTAAAACTCTACACAAAAGCCAGATATTATTTAGGTATTTATAATAAAAAACAGCTATTTTTCCTACATATTATAAGTAATAAAACCTTACCCAGCTGAAGCTCCTTTGTCTTGAAAATTGTCAGAATCTGATGATGTGAAAAACGATGGAAAATACCGTCTCGATGCGTCCCTTCTCGGCGCAAGTACTGGAGCTTTCAAAGCTCACTCGATATCTACGAAATTTCTCCAAACCTGTTTTATCTACATTTCTGTGATTCGTTTAAGAGCCATCTTTCAGTACAAAATAGAACTATTATAGTTAGTAATTTTGGCTCTAAATTTTTTTATATTACAAAAAAAGCGAATTAAATAGTAAATTATCAAATGAAAAGAAGTGTAGTAGAGTACGCAATATACGTACGTAATATACGTGCAAAGAATTAAATAAAACTATTTCTGTAATAGTCAACTTAATCTTTGAGATTATTTTTTGATCAACAGAATCTGAGAGTTTATTTTATTTAATTATGTAGATATTACTTTAAGTATTGCTTTAATTATGTAAACATCAGAAGAACTTGTAGTCATTATGTTAAAGAAAAATAAACTGATAAAACGCCATCTATTCCTTGGAATAATAATTCGACTATTATCCTGTTTGGTGATAACGCCATCTGTCATTTTTATTTGGTATTTCAATATCATATAAGGTCGGTTACAATGTTATGTAGCAAGACTTTGTAGTAGTTCCACATAATATTACTAGATAGCGCTTTTCAAAATAATAATTACTGTATTGTTAGACTTCGCAAATATGGCAAATACCTTATTGTTTGATTTTAGCTTTTTAAGTAAATCTTACTTTTATATTACATACATATTTATGAATAAGTTATTTAAAACTAGTCGTTTCGTTGAATTTTTCTAAATGTGTAGCTACATATTACCTTCTTTGAATTATACTGCTAGTTTCTACTTGAAGGCGATTTAAAACATTTAAAATATCAATGGGTGTTACACAATCATTAATCACACCTGTCCATTAAAACCATGTATCTCTCGGCTCGAAGAGAGTAATGTTATTTATTAAATCAACAACTAATATCTCGGAGCGAGCATTTCTCAAATACCACTAATCTTATCGTCAAAACAATGTCATACACGGCCCGTGAGACACAGTGGATGAAAAATGATTTGCGACCACAAACACACCTTAATGTAACCTATCTCGCGATCTGAGCCCACAATCGGATGGACAGGCCAACATTAATAATATTAGTCATTGTTACGGTCTGATATACCTACGTCGTAAGGATAGCGTTCAATTCCCAGTACTGTTTCCAATAAGATTTGTTTTAAAATATATTGATAAGTACGTAGTCTGTTTTTAAATTCAAACATCTTTCCTACGCCTTTTTGTAGCTTACCAGTTCTCTTGATTTACGTATCGAATAGGTACCTGAATACATATTTCTATAATTCAACACATTGCGTTCTTTAACTTAGATTAAAGTTTAGGCTTAATATCTATAATAATAGTCTATAGTTTCGATTAAACAGGGCAAACTAAGGTCGCCCCACCAATGGGACGAGTGTTTTTTTCGATGTTATTAAAGTTTTTTTTTGCTGCAATAAGTTTAGTAGGTATTTTTTTTTAAGCAATGTATTGTTTCAATATTTTTATATTCAACATCTTAATTTATACCGTAGCGTACTCGTATTTGATACACATATTCATAGAATTGTGCATATTTATAAACGGAACATTCACCAAACGTAATTTTCGGGATGATTGATAGAATCAGGCTCCGATACGCACTCGCGACCTACAAACTAAAGCAACCTCCAACTCCTTTGTTGGCACGTGGTGCCCTGGCGCCCCCGGCTTCGGCTGTCATGTCATTGGAGCCGTTCATTTATCATCAATACGAGCATCAAACCGAACGGCGTCAAACTGGCGGTTGCAGCGAAATGTAGGAAAAATTCAAATTGTTTTCTATTCCACAATTTTGAGGTTTTATAGACATACATAATCCTTTCAACCGGAACTGCTCTCGCTTACGTTTCTGGGCTTTTAATGGGTTAGACCCACCACACTGTATTGCGAGACTTTTACGACTGCCGAAGTAGTAAATCGCCCAGGATTTGAACCCGGGATTTAGAGGTCTGCAATGCACTAACGTCAACAACACAGTGTTATTCATTCTATTTTTCTATTTAACATTGGGCAATCAGAATCTACAGACAACGTAGAATCTGTGCAACGCTACTAACTATATTATAATCTTTAGGTACCTATATTGTTGTAAACGGATAGAGTATAATCTGTAGTTAAAATTTCTTTATCATACATTAGCATTGTAAAGTATTTTTTTTTGTGTTACCTGTGTGTGTACTTAAATGATCGAAATGTTGACGAAAGAAAATTCAATGCTTATCTGCATAGTTTATTTTTATAATTTTCACCGAATTTTCAAAATTTAATACATTTTATTCATACATTACAATAATTTAAATGATCGTGTAGCTTACGTAGAGATTTCATTTAAATTGGAATGAACGATATATACTTACAATTTCATTAATTACAAAAAGATAACACAAGTAAATAAACAATTTTTACATTAGTAAATGGAAAATAGGCCACATGCTATTGCACAGGAAAATATAATACAGAGAAAATTATATAGGTTACAAATGGTTCTTGTGATAATATGGGAGTGTGAATTATTTACAAACAATAATTAAACCAACAAAAGCTTAGATGCAGAAATGATAAAACTAATTATTAAGACAATTTTCTAATTCGACAAAGAATACTTATAAGAGATAGTGCGAATCCTTTATAACATCCAGTTAGCCAGCGTTTGTAAGAAAACTTGTAATCGATACCAGTGTAGTTGTGTGATGTTCCTTAGGAATAAATTTAACAAAATATCACAGATAACTACGACATTTCTAATGAGATAACAGAATTTTGCGAAACTCATATAAGAAAATAAAAATAACAGTTAACAGAATCAAGGAAGAGTTTTATTTCTATTTTAAGTACATTATACAAATACGATTGTGGCGTGTTTCTAATATGAAAATTTGAGGCCTTTTGAAAATTAAATAGTTAAAAATTTTTGAAATTTTTGATTTGAAATTGCAAAGTTAATTCAGATCAAATTGTTTAACATTTTTAAGCGAATATTTGATAAGGTCGAAGCTCAATGCCTAACTGATATATTTTGAAAAGACATTAAAAGAAAAAAACAAAAAATGGTTTCATTTGACTTACAAATTTTCATTTCAGAAACTGAAACAGCCACACAATTAATATTAAATAGTTATCGTTGGTAGAGATTTTTTGTAATAGACATAATTTAATTAATATTACCTTAGAGAACTATGCAATGACATTAAACTATATGTTTGTTTTTATTAACTTACATTTATTTACACTAGAGACAGGAACATAAAATAGTTCTTTAAAAGTAGGTACTACATTGAATATATTAAATTTTCCAAAATACCTACGCAGGCTATTTTATTTACAATATTGACTTAACGTCCAAGATAGATATTCACAAACTATATTTATCTGAGCTTCGAAATTCACAGCGTCCTTAAGCCCTTGCCAAACTGGGTATTTATACGCAACCTACCTAATAATATTACAATACAATTCATGAAACATTTACACATAGTTGAGATTTCGAATTTGCAATTTTCCCTGTACAATTCCGAATTTGTCTTCAAAGCGATGGCTTCTGTACATGCCTATTATTGTGTCAGTATTGAGAACTAGTCAAAGTATTTCCCTACCTAAACGTAATTAGACATAGCCATCAATATTTTTACACTATCCCCTAGAAATGTAACAATTATTATGCCTTTATTATGCAGATCAAATAATGTGACTAGGTGACATTTTGCGAATTTCGCTGTTCTTTACTGTTTTTGGAAGTACACATACGAACCATTATGTTCCATCACACTGTGTAGACTCTACTGGGCATTAGCTAGATTTGAACTGATAGTTGTCTTATTTCACTAAACTCCTTCGATCACTTTTGTTCATTAAAGTCACTGGCACTAGGAAATTTTTCGAGCAGCGAATAACTGATTCAGTCTGGTCGCTACAGCATCCACTCGTCTGGCGACGCTAAAAGCGACCCCGCGATACGGTCGACTGGTATTATTAGTAAATCAGTTATCCACTATTCGAAAAATTCCACTGATCCTATGCGGAGAGATGCGCGAATTGGCTCGGGTGGAGGTCGAACTGGTAGGGGTGGCCGTACGGATTCATATGGTACGGGACAATGTTCATCGACGCCATTTTGTGTTCCTTCTTCCACTTCATGCGCCGGTTCTGAAACCAGATCTTGATCTGTCGCTCCGTGAGGCAGAGGGCGTGAGCTATCTCGATCCGTCGTCTCCTCGTCAGGTACCGGTTGAAGTGGAATTCCTTTTCGAGTTCGAGGGTCTGGTACCGGGTGTACGACGTCCTCTGCCTTTTTGTCTCTCCGTTCGCGTTCACAGTGCCTGAAACATAAATATCGATAAATCAAAATGACGTCAAGCATATCATGCATTATGAATCCCGATCTAAATATTAGATACGTGGATATGAAGGGCTGGAAGTCCGTTTTAGCGGCTATGAGTAGTTGGTCGATCGTGTTCGTGGCACGCTTGCTCGATTGTGATGTACAGCTTGCGGCAATGCGCACGATTCAGAACGAGATTTCTGTTAAGGGGTTATAAAGCGGTGCACCATTTGTTAAACGTTAAAATGTTTCTCTCGAAAATTTTGTTAAACTCATATAATCTCTTCATTCTTTGTTTGTCATATTAAAATAGGGTGAAAATACGTCATAGAAACTCATTCAAACAGGTGTAATAACACAGACAGAGTGCCATAATAAAATCGTGTATACGTCATCTTTAAAAAAATGTGGCTAAAAATATTCATATTGCGCTTTTCGAAATTCCATTTAAAAATTGACCATAAAATATATTATTTATATTGTAAATGTTTGACGTAATTTCACAAAAATACAAAATTTTGTCGTTTCCCTTCCTTTCTGACAACATTCTGTATTTAAATACTGGCTTGCCCAAGGGAAGATAGGAATATGTGAGAGCCTAACATTGCCTAACACATTGTACCATGAAGTGTGGATTGCGAGTTGTATGCCGCACCTGTCACACCATGTTCAAAGCGCAGCCCACCGAGCGGCTTGGACGGGCGCCAGTCCACCGTGATCGATATGCGACCTGTCTTCCAAATTAAACCGAATCATTTGTTACACTTCTTTAACCGCCGCTTTAATTAATCGTTTGCCAAATTTTCAACAATTAACCCCTTCTCGATTGTTAGACGTGGAGGGGGTTAGGGATGTATGAAACTTGGCTTGCTATTGCATAGTCTTTTTTATTTTTATAGTCATACTATATATTTTGAAGGCTGATCATAACAACTTTTGCACAAACTTTATTAAGTATGTTCTATGTATTTTCATGACGTTTAACAAAAATATATCAATACGCTTATAGTCGAAGAAAATTGTGAATTTCTAGTAGATCGCCTTTTCTCGCTACATTTTGATAATTTTGGCTAAGTTTATTTTGTAACATTGTGGTGAAAATAAAGTATTTTTTGTTTTTTTTTGTTTGTTTATTGATAATATAATAAAAGATAAATTAGAAAATAATTTTCAAATCCGTTATATTACTATACATATTATATACATAGCCATTTTTAAACATTATAGAACAAAGCGGACCCAAAGATGGTCCTCGCGGTATCCTTATTGAATTAGTTCAGGAATTTAAAAGAGCAGAATTAAAAGCACCCAACCGTTAATAATAATACAATCGATGATTAATAAAAGAAACAATTGTAATAAATACAGCAGGAGCGTTCAATATCCCTTATAATGTCGCAGACGTCAATCCCGCGTCGATAAAGATGTTTAAAAACTATAAATATTCGATGTCCCTCGAGTACTAGGAGTGAAGCGGGAACAAAAACTTCATATGATTGAAATGTTAGTGACAGCGCGATGCACAAACAACTGAATCGAAGCATTATTTTAACATAATCCTTGTAGAGACGAAACGGATGGGCACAATAGAGTGAGTTATGAATTTCAATGCGCGTTCAGGGTTACGGTGATTTTAATCAGACGCTTATATCAGGATCTTAGATCACATATCATTAGGAAGTGCAGATGAATAGGGGAAAACTTGATAACAGGTAGGTAATAAATCATTGGAAACGAAAAGCGGTTAATACATTATTCTGTAATACATCAAGTGTCACTGAATTATTAAGTGACTATTGATCCATGTAAGGCTTTTTGTAACTTAAACGTCTGAATTTTTCGATTTTTTTTTTTATATAAACAAAATAATGATATACAAAGAGGTAAGTTACAATTGGTACCTAACAATAAAGCCAAGCCTTAACAACTTTATTCAAGAATAATTTTATGTGAAAACATTTACAATACAAATAACAATTGTGTAGCTAATCCTTACATGAAATGATAGTAAAAAGAAATAATTTAAACAATTAAGATGATAATGAAGAATGTAAAGCAGATTAACTTGTTTCTTAGGAATGCAAATATAATTTTATTTATTAATTCATTATAACACAAACACAATTTTAAATGAACCAAATAAGAATTATGAATAGAATTATCTAATGTTAAATAAATAAGTAAATTAAATTCCTAAACTGTCACTGAAAACTCAATCAAGGACACATTGTGGAAGAATATACAAATATTAGTCACTAAGTAAATATTGTCTAAAAATTAGTAAAACACCTCAATTTTTCTTTATTTATAAAAGATAAGGTATTATGTAGGTACTCTTTTAATGTAATATAAGGGTAGAATATCTTCTCTGACTACCTTCTAGGCCGAATTATCTAACATTACATTAAGCTCGAGTTCGAATACCAGTAAAACGTATCTAAAAGTTTCGGTCGGACACGGCACAAAAAGTTGATCTGTCCCATTGACGTATAGGAAATGTGATTGCACTATTCAAAATATCAACTACTCTAAGCCTAAAATGTTATTTTTTCTATCATAGGTAATTCTAGGTCACAGACCATTTATATTCCGTCTGGGTCTAGACATATTGCATGGTCGAATTTTAAATGAATGACGTCGTATTACCTATGGATGAGCCTAAAATTTGAAAACTAAAGTAGCCAGTGTCTGGAGATGATCTTGGCTTTTTAATGCATATTATATTAGGTTACCTAGAAACAAAATTGAATTATTATAAAGTGGCTTGTTGTTCAGGTAAGAAGTGTTTTATATAAATCAAATTATATAATCAGATATGTTGGTCTAAAATTTACATTTACATGACATCTGCTCGTTTGTGTAATGGTAGGAATTGCGGCTAACAATCAACGGGTCGATGGTTCGATCCCCAGGGGTACCAACATTTTTCTAATCAATTTATATTTTTTCTGAAATTTATCTAAATTCCGTCCGGGTCACGAACCACCGTTCACAGATGAAAAAGCCGTGAAAATCACGTTTCGGTTTCAGTCTGTGGATTTCCGAATATCCAAAGCCGAAGCAGATCGACAGTGCATCTTGTTTAGATGCTATAGGCTGGTGTACCTCTATTACCATCACGTGAATAATAATAATATAAAGGGGCTCCGTCTATACCTATATGGGATATCAGTTGGTAGTCTTGTCTCTACTTTATAATTTCACTTGAACAATCTGCTATATTAAGTAGTAAAGTACATACATAAATACGGCGACATTTAATCACGGTTGCGTCTTGTGAATTCGGTTGAATAATTTTCTCTCTAATAATTTAAAAATACAGTTTCACGTTTATTTAACTTGACAGTTTTTCTTCGTGTGGATTTAAAAATTAAGGTAATTATTATAATCTGCAACGCATTTCACAAATATAACTTTATCCATAAAGCCTGTAAGTGGCTCTCATTAAATTCACCGTTAAAAATATATACATAGAAATAAGAACAGGTGCGTATTAAAACGACACTTTAAAATTCATTTGAACAAACGCAACAGCGCTTAGACCGCTTTTATTAAAATCATCACACAGCCGAAAGCTATTAAAATGTTTTTTCAAGCATATTTCTATCAGCAATATAGAAAATGAACAGCTAAAATGCTTAGCGATAAAACATCAAAGACCATGACTAATGATATCAAGATGAAAACGAAGTAGGTACATATAAAAGTGTCGTCTATGTTTTTATGTGAGCCTATTATAATGATTATGAAATAGATAACTTTAGTTAACAAGAAGTAATTTTATAGTTTTTTTTTGCATGAAATACCTAAGACTTACTATTTATGTCTGAAGATGTTATTTTTAAAACCTAAAGCTAGTGTAAGATTTTACAGAAGATATATATAATATTTAAGTTAAACACTTTAAAACGTGACATTATTTAGTTAAACTTGTTTGAGAATTACTTTTAACTACGGCCCGTTTCGGATGCTTTGCAGCAGCCGTGGTCACGGGGAGACGTTAGATAATTTTCAAGCAAGTTTAACTAAAATATATCGTGTTTTAAACGGTTAAAGTGTTTTATTTAAATGTGTACTACTCGCGTAAACGACAGACAGTATTTAATTTATATTATATACATAGCGTGAATTTGAATATAATTTATATACGAATATTGTTAGTTCATTTAATTCGGACGTTACAAAGTCCAATAACACGGTAGCAACTTGAGGCAAAGATTTATAGTATTAAAAAATAATGAAAATGAAAACGTTTTAGAAATATAAAGAACTTAAATGGACACTTGTGGTGCTATCATAGGGTTATATTTTAAACTGTGCGAAATAAATTTTAATTAAACTTTTCGTTAATAGGATCAACGCATTAAGGTGTCTTGTAAGTGTAATCGAGTCTTATTCTTGTAAGGGAAAAAAGATTTTAGATAATATTTTTAAATTTTAGCAGTCTTACATTTAGTAATTTCTATATCAATGAATTTGGGAGTTTTAAAGTATTTGTATATAGGAAAAGATGGAATTTATTTTTGAGAGTAAAGGTGTTATTTATTATTGAAGATGTCGTAAGTCGTTACAGGTAAGTACATTTACAAGGCATCTTCGAAAGTCTACATAGACTTAAATGGGGCTGGAACCTTTAGTACAATCTTGGTTTCCTTAAATGGGAAATAAAACGTAAACGCTGTAATTGGTGAAGCACTTATTCATTTCAAGATAAGCGTGCGTTAACAGATAAGCATTTATAAATTATGTATGATCAATATGATGATTTTTAAACGTTTTTGAAAAAGGAAAAGTGTAGTATACCAAAATGAACAAGTCAAAAAATGAACTGGATAGTTTTCTCAGTTTAAACTAGGTAAATTTATATAATTATATACACCACATAATGTTGAAATATGACATACACTTTACTTGTTAAAGTTTTATATGGAAATTTGAATTTCGAATTTGAAAAATTTTCTCCTTCATGATCGGAGTTTCGAAATTTCTCTCGGCTAG